TAGTCCATTTTATACAGCTTGAAGCGCTCTATCGAATAATATATTTTTTGTGTTTCTCTCTCTCTTTTTTCGCACCATTTCGCTCAAAATATTTATTTACAGACACTTCTTCATTTTTGTGTAAAAGGACCTCATTTCTTAGTTTTCTCCCTCTGGCTATGACTTGAAGGAACGGGAAGGTATTCAAAAGAAAGGCCATCGAGCGAAAAACAAATTGATAAAAAAAACTTCTTCCGAACACCTTTTCTTTTCGTTGAAAAAAGACGATCTTTTTCCAAAAATTCAAGTTTTACTCACTTTGTAGAAAGACTTTTTGCAAATTTCATCGCTAATAACTCTTGAACAACTCATCCATTTTTGCTCAAATTTTTACTGTAGATATAGTTCTCAGAGTTGTATGTCAATGTAAAAAATCGGCCTTATATCTCTTATTGTTCTCGAGATATTTACGTTATATGATGAGCTGTAAAAGGACATTTTTGATTTTTTATGGTACATTTACATTGGAGTAAGGCGTATCTCAACTAATATACGGTAAAGTGTTGGGAAACTTCTGCTGTGTAACATAGGCATAGAGTATAATAAAATGCACCGCTCATGTATAGTTATGGTCTACTTTCAGTTTTTCGCACCAATCGTACCAAAAAGTTGCAATTCACTCATATATATATCGTTCCATTTAATTCTTTCCAAATCGATTAAACCCCTCCCCGCATTAGAAGACCCCCCCATATTAGTAGACCCCCCCATAATAGAAGACCCCCCCTGGACAAAAATTTCATCAGGCGTATTAGAAGACTCCCCTTTAATTAATTAATTTTTTGCTAATTAGGGACTTTAATTAGAGAATTTCCGCCCAGAAGTGCGCAGTTTTTAGGTTTTTCAGCTGGGAATATTTAGAAAGTAGGTCCAAATGTATCCCTCAACCCTTAAAACCGCGAAAATCCCTATGAGAATCCTGAAAAGCGCTCTGGCTTTCTGGAAAACCACATTTAGTTAATAATTGCTAAAAAGCCTAGGACATAATAGAAGACCCCCTGAGAAATTTTTACGACGAGACATAATAGAAGACCCGGGGTCTTCTAATGCGGGGACGGGTTTAGAATGAATCAATAGGATATTTTATTTTACTTTGATTACTGAGGGAAACCAAACAAACAAATCTTTCTCAAAAAAATTTACTTTCTTTTTGACTTATGTATGTAACGATGAATCCGAAATAAATTGTGCAAAAAATATTACATGACATTCAGTATTTACATTGTTAACATCGTTAGTTATGCATTCTTTTTAAATTATTTAAGTTAAATCCTGATCCAGACTAAAACTCACAGTCAAAAATAAAAGTCTCTCAAAAATAAATAAATAAATAAAAAATAAAACAAAATTTAAGGAGCGAAATTCTACTGGTGTTTTTCTACTGATTGTATACACCGATGATATGTATTGTTTAGTTTATCTTTTGACTGTATCAACTGTTAGCAGGCATCGTAGCAGACCCTTAAAATATAGGACTGTATGTCTACGTAATATATGAATAAATTTCAAAACTCCATGTAAATACACGAAATTTTGGAATTTGTTCATATATTACGTAGACATACGGCCCTATATTTTAAGGGTCTGCTACGATGCCTGACTGTTAGAAGCACTGTTAAAATATTTATTCGAATAGTCATTGTTATTAGAATATAATATAAGTTTCATTTATAATTAAGATTTTTTCTTTATATTAAATTGAATACGAACACTTTCTGAATTGATCTCATGAGCGAACATTTGCAGCTGTCGAACTAGGGATGCAACGGTGACGATAACCGTAGGTACGGTTACCGGTCCAACTACGGTAACCGTAGGTACGGTTATCGATCCAACTACGGTGACCGTAGGTATGGTTACCGGTCCAAGTACGATAACCGTAGGTAGTTATCGGTTCAAATACGATAACCGTAGGTAGTTATCAGTTCAAACCCGTTGTCAACAACAACAGTATTTTTTAAGAAAATAACGATATTTTATAAAGGTTGAGGAAAGTAAATCGGGGTCGAGGAATCCGAATCTGAAGTCGGTTTTTGAAAATTTTGAATTGAATTTTTTCGACAAAAGAAAAGATTTTTTAGAAAAATAATGATATTTTATAAAGGTTGACGAAAGTAAATCGGGGTCGAAGAATCCGAATCTGAAGCCAGTTTTTGAAAATTTTGAATTGAATTTTTTCGACAAAGAAAAGGGTTTTTTAGAAAAATAGTGGTATTTTATAAAGATTGACGAAAGTAAATCGAGGTCGAAGAATCCGAATCTCAAATCAGATCCTTGAACTTTTCAATTTTCTCTTCCCAAGACCAAACCGCTCCTTGAAAATCGTCTTTTTTTCTAGAACACTTTATCCCTGAAAAGCATCATATGTGAAGAACTAAAACTCAAAATTTTGAAAAGCTGACTTCAGATTCGGATTCCTCGACCCCGATTTACTTTCGTCAACCTTTATAAAATATCATTATTTTTCTAAAAACCCTTTCCTTTGCGAAAAAATTCAATTTAAAATTTTCAAAAACTGGCTTCAGATTCAGATTCCTCGACCCCGATTTACTTTCGTCAACCTTTATAAAATATCATTATTTTTCTAAAAAAACCTATCCTTTGTCGAAAAAATTCAGTTTAAAATTTTCAAAAACTGACTTCAGATTCAGATTCCTCGACCCCAATTTACTTTCGTCAACATTTATAAAATATCATTATTTTTCTAAAAAATCCTTTCTTTTGTCGAAAAAATTCAATTTAAAATTTTCAAAAACTGACGTTAGATTCGGATTCCTCGACCCCGATTTACTTTCGTCAACATTTATAAAATATCGTTATTTTCTTAAAAAATGCTATTGTTGTTGACAATGAGTTTGAACCGATAACTACCTACGGTTATCGTACTTGGACCGGTAACCGTACCTACGGTTAACCGGTGAATGATCGTCACCATTGCATCCCTATGTCGAACGTCGTTCGATCTCATTTTATGATTATTAGTAGGCCTTCGTGACACTGAGAAAATCTTTAAAGCATTCAGAATCGTAGTGTACTAATAAAGAGTTACGATCGTTTCAATGGAATTTGTACTGACCACAAGGCATTTCTCCAAAACTTAAAACAAAGAGTTTTGACCTGAAATTTTGTCTATAGGCACGTTTGATAGTCCTGATACAAACCACTAGTTTTTTTTAAATTGAATTTATCAAGAAAGACGTTTTCGCTTTCGTTGAAACTATTACTGCTGCCAAATGTATCTATAAACGAAATTTCAGGTCAAAACTCTTTATTTAAAATTTTTCGGAAATGTCTAGTTGATACTAAAAATTTCATTAACCCTTTGGGGACGGTTGGCCTCTTCAGGGGCCATGGTGATTCTCTAGCATTTCAAAACACACAGATTTCTATATGAGATTAGTTTTCGTGAAAGCATTTATCAGAGAGTTTTTTGATATAATTTGGATTGTAATTAGGTTATTTTATTCAGATATCCAGTAATGGATAATAAGTTCTTTTAGAATATAGAAATGTTGATTGATTTATGATGAAATATACAAAAAAAAAACCCGTCCCCAAAGGGTTAAAACGCTCATAACTGTTCATCAGTAGATCACGGCAACAGTTGGATATGTTCTAACGTCAATGGTTTATTATGGATTTTATAAAAAACATTTTTTCCTCTTTTTAATACTACTTGAAAACACTGATAATTGTGAAGCTCGTGTTTCCTTTTTTTTAGTTTTCATAGCTACAGTAGTCGCAAAAAGTCCCGCACCCCCTAGAAAACTATCTAAACCTCAACCGTTTGGGCTCATATTTTTACTATACATAGAATTCAGTGAATGCTGATCGTAAGCACCAACCCGACCTCGATTAGTTAAAGTATACTGGAGTTAGTAGCTCAACAGCATCATCTCCTTGTGAAGACCATATCTCAATTATTTTTCGATATTCAATTTCACGCGACCCCTCATTCGAAAGCCCAATGCCACAGCTATCTGTGGTACAAATTTAGTCAAAACTCACTTTGAATTAACGGAGATATGACCTTTGTATTAAAAATGTCTGCCAACACGTAAGCCCTATATTTTGCATTCTGATGTCAATAACTCCACTTAACCTTGGCCGATTCACTTGAAAATTTCACCCATGAATTCTCATGAGTCTAGCAGCTTGTGATAAAATTTTCAGAATCATAACTCAAACTAGAGTCGAGATAGAGCCATCAAAAGAGCTTATCATCCCACACCTTGTTAATCACTGAGATCTCGATATTATAGGGTGGGCTTTTGACTCAATAAAGTGGACATAGGGAGCTACATTTAGCACTAAAGAAAACGTAAATAAATTGTAATACGACAAAACGGCAAGCAAAAGTTTTAATGGTTGAGATATGGTCTTCACAAGGAGATGATGCTGTTGAGCTACTAACTCCAGTATACTTTAACTAATCGAGGTCGGGTTGGTGCTTACGATCAGTATTCACTGAGTTCTATGTATAGTAAAAATATGAGCCCAAACGGTTGAGATTTGGATAGTTTTCTAGGGGGTGCGGGACTTTTTGCGACTACTGTATATAAAGATTATGAAATACTTTTACTCACCATCATTTTTTTAATAAGATGGTTGAAAAATTTTTTCGGCAGTGTCTCATGATAAAAAAAAACGTTAATTTTTTGTTCTATTCGAGCAAATATTTTGATGTCTCGTCGTTTTTTTTTCTAATAATAAATTCTATTTTTAATTTAGATATTATTATATTAATAATTCCAGACAAATAATCATCGTTACATATTTACACTAAATAAATATTTTTTTTTTGTTTTTCATGACAAACTCTTCCAATAGACGTAAATATTTTTAAATAAGAACAAACTATTTTTCAAATTATTCTATTTTAAATTTCTCTATTTTTGATTAATCGAAAGACATAAGTGAGAATATATACATTGGTAAATAAGAAAAAAAAAACAACATGATTAAATAGACAAAAGCGAACATGATGGTAAATAAGCGATATTATTGTTTACATCGTCGATAAAATATGGTAATGAAGTATTCAAGTCGAAAGATGTTGAATGATTAATAAAGTTATCATAGTTATTGATGTCGAGAGATACTGGCCAAGGCGTAATCTAAAGAAAAAAATAATAATAAATACTTTAATATTTTTTGATAATAATAGAATTTCATTTTATTTTCTCTTTTAAATTCTACCTGTAAATATTTGTTATAAATGATGATAAACTCCAAAAGTTTCAAGTTAAACCTTCATCTATTATAGAAAGAAATGTATGATAGTCAATCTAATGCTCACGCCAAAATTAAAGAGAGGTGGCTGTAAGTTCAATTTTCTTCTGAACAAACGAAAAAATATTATTCGACGTATTTGCTGTGTTCCGTACATGCATGTTCAGATTATTATAAACGAAACTACACTAAATAAAAATTTAAAGAAAACCATTTTTTTCTACAGTATAAACTATGTCTTTTCATTACTTTTATAGTATGTGACATATATCAAAGTATATAAATAAAATATTTACAAGTATAAAAAGTTGTTAGCGTAATCTCAGCAGGAGTAAAATTTGAAACACGACGGAGCTGCTGTCATTGTAAAAAAAAAAAGGAATTCATCAACATACGTTTCAGTTTATGAATTACCACCTACTGTTAATGCCTGTTTATGAAAAAAAGATGTTCATCACAATATATTGCAATCAACATAAATGTAGAGTAAAGAATAGCTATCTTAAGTTCAGCTGTGTTTCATACTAATGCTATATTAGATTATTCTCGTGGGGGGTATCCTCGCCATGGTCGATGAGAAGGAAATGGTCATACAATAAAATATCTGTCACAGTGTATGACGGAAGAGAGATGTTCTTAAGTTTCACGATAAAAGGGGCCGGATGTGTAAATAGGCAAATGAAAAAATCTTTTTTAGCTTAAACTCTAATTTTCTCAGTAGTAGAACACGCAATCAAGGTCAACAATATCTCATATGATAACACATAAAAGGTATTACAAAGTGAATATTTGCTTTCTATTAAAACAGTTTTATTAAAATTCGTTTTATCACAAATACCGAAATCTTTTTGTTGTTTGGCTTCTGTTGTGCATTTTAAAAAATCAATTGTATTGTAACTTACTCATTGTTTCGACGAAAATAAAAAAAAAAACGAAGAAGTACATATATGTAGAGACTCTATAATCTACACGTTGTCTTACACATCCTCTGGAATTTCACCATTGGTGAAATTCTGATCACCCGAATCTTTTCAAAAGTACTTTCATTTTTTGGAAAAATATATGAATCATAGGAAATGTAAGATGGTTACAAAGCCAATCGATTATTGAAATTATGCCTACTCCTCTTGAATTCTGGTGCAGACATTAGTTTAAGTTTTTATTTCTCTTTTTATTAATTCATTGAAATAAAAACAACGAAAATAAATTTACCTCATTATGTTCAAATGTTGACCAATATTTTTCTAAATTTATTGAACGAAGTAATGTAAATAATTTAGTCGAACAATTATTTTGAGATAATGGAGTAATTAAAGGATCTAAATGTTTTTTTTAATATAAATATTTCAAAAAAAAAGAATATATAATAAAACTTACTGTTAATTGACTTAATTTGATGTTTTGATGCATCAAAAATCGATGACTAAAAATATTTCAATTGAATTAATATTGAAATAATATTTAGAAAACTTACAGATGAAAATTGATCATTATTTGTTGAACAAATGATTGCATCTTGATCAAGATCTTGAAGTATAAAGAAAATATATTCATTAGAAGGGAAAAAAAATTATGAGAAAGTTTTTACTTCGTAATGAGAAACGTTCATGACCAATGGGTGATGGTTTTTTTGTTGTATTCGCTTTATTTCTTCAAGAGAGATACACATAAAAAAAAACAATGCATAAAATAAAAATTCTATTTCTTACAATGGTACAATTAATGTATCAATTTGTTGTGTTGATGATGTATAGTAAGGTTCAATTGGAATTAATATACTATCTGGTAAACGATTAGTTGGTATTGTTGTCACAGAAGAAGACGCAATAGATGAAGCTGGCACTAAAAAATATTAATATCACGATTGGTCTTAGAAGATGAGAATATATATAGAAAATAAATTTTTTTTCTTAAAAGATTTTAATTCAAAAATATTATTTTGTTTTAAGAAAAATTATTGCAATTTGTAGAAAGGTGTGAAATTTTAATCAGAAAGAGTTCTTGATTAACAAAAAAAAATTACAATAATTTGCAGAAAACTATACCTAATATGAATAAAGAGTATGATAATTTTTTTTACAATAATTACCAAGTGTTATATAAGATAATATTATATAGATTTACAAATTGATCTTGCAAATAACTGAAGTCATGAAACAAAATGGTATTCTTTTTCGGTCATAGATATAATCAGTTTTCTGAAAGAGAATTAATTACGTGGTACGGATCTTAACTAAATTAATTGATTTTTATATTATTAATAAATGTAATACTCATAATAGACGAGCAAGAATCATCAATGTGAACAAAACGAACGAGGGAAGTCATTCAACTGATTAATTACTTTGAAGTCTGGATTATATGCATCATGTAGACTCTAATGAGCTATGAATATGCTGAAAATAGTTCAAGTTCTTAGCTGAGATACTGCATTTTTACGGTATTTGTGAATCAATGTTATGCTTTCACCCCTCCCCCCCCCCCATCTCCAAGGATACAAGGAAAACTTATTTTCAAATTTCGACTTGAAATTTTGCATAAATACAGATCTTAATAAGAACTAGTTTATTATGAAAGTTTCAAGTCTTTCGATACGTTCCTTTCGTAAAACAAGAATCTTTTATCATAGTTGTATCTTATAATAGAAACAATGAAATGATTTGAAACTTTCACAATGAACTATGATCTATCTCTATGGAAAGTTTCAAACTGAAATTCGAAATTTGAAAAATGAATCTGCCTAGTGTTCCTTTGGGAAACGATGGTGCTAGCTAAAAACACACCGTAAAAAATGAAATATCTCGGTAGTAATAAGCTAAAAACCTGAGCTCTTCTCATGTTATTCATAGTCTCGATTCAAAAGTAATTAATCGGTTGGGATACTTCACTCGTGCGAAGAATTTTAATCAAAGTCAACAGTAGTGGCATAGTTAAACGGGAGCTAGAAGATGCTCAGTTCTTCTATCAACCGTCGAGCCTCTTCTACAAGCATTACTAGAGAGTCTCCACCTTTCTCCTTCTCAAAAAAACTTTTGCCACTAATACAACTTTTCTTATAGTTTATATGAGTAAATTTTTCAAGGGTTAAAAACAAAAAATTTCAAATCTCATGTTTTTTTTTTTGTAAATTAATTTAAATTCCAAAAATATCATTGAAACTGAGTTAAACAAATTATTGAACTTTTCGATATATATGTTCGCAAATGAGAAGTAACGATTTTTTTGATCATAAGGATACTTTAGTGCGATATGGTTTTTTTTCACAAAAAATTATCTGAGAATTTCTTCAATGAAGTGTTTCTACTAAAGAATCTTCATTTTTATTACTTACTAGAAAGATCAGAAAATATTGTCGATGATAAATCTACAACAAATAAAACAATTTAATAGTTTTGATCTCCAAAACAAAACCAATAGTTACTTAGATCGAATAAAGTATTTTTATTATTATTATTATTAATCGATGATATTGGTAAAATATTATTATTTATTTCTGGTAAACCAAGAATAATTGAACGTGCACGAAATAATTGATCAGTGTTGTATTCTTGTGATTGAACAATTACTAACTATACATTAAAAATTTCACAATAATGAAAAGAAAAATAACAAAAAAAAAAGACAAATTTACTTTTCCAATTTTATCTTTACGTGTTCGAAGAATCGTTGTTATATTAAGTTTATCTTTTATATGAGCAATATCAGCTAAATAAAAAACAAACATCATTTCTATATTAAATTCGAAGAAAAAATTGAAGCTTACAAGGGAATCTCTCCAGCTGTCACATCACTTTTCGACCGAGACAATGTTTATCTGATGAGTACTAATGAGTAATAGAAAAATCTAGAATAGTTTAGTTTTTCAAGCATTCGTTCCTGAGATATCGAAATTTAAGAATTTTGTTCATGCACAGTTTGAAATGGAAACTCGACAGTCGAGTTTTTTTTGTTCAAAAAACTCAGTAAAATTTTGATATTTCAAGAACGAATATCTGAAAAAACTAAATCATTCTAGACTTTTCTATTACACACTAGTACTCATCAAATAAATATCGTCTCGGTCGAAAAGCGATAATAACATCTGTAGAAATTCTCTCATTAGTTTCATACCACGTGTTGGTTCTTTATCAATTGGTACTTCAAAAGTCAAAATAATTGGTAAACATAACTAAATGAAAAACAAAAAAGTTTTTGAATCATATACGAAAAAAAACTAAACAGAACATTTTTACATCAAATAATTTTCTTGCTTGACAAACTTGTGTTGGAGATCCACTAATTATAACTGATGTTCGTCGTCCATATCCATTTGTATTTATTATTGTTGTTGGAAATTGTATTGTAGCATGTGTATATTGTTCAATAGCTGCTATACACATATCTTTTGATTGTTGACGTGTTTGTAAATAACCATGATATTGTTCACTAACTTCTGTTTGACATGTTACTTTAATTAATGATGATTCAAAACCATAAAATGCTTGAATTAAATATTCAGTTGCTTCTGCTAATTCTGGTTGATTAATACTTCCAAAAAACAAAAAACAAAAGATTTTCTTTTTTTCGAAACAAAAAAAATTTCTATAATAACATACAGTCCACGAACAATACAATAAACATCACCAGTTTTTGCATATGGACGTGGTAATACTATAACACCATAACGTTTTCGAACATATTTAAATAATGGATAATCATCATTGATAATATGAATTAATTCTCTTGGTGATATAAGAAATTTTAATGACATTGGTAAAATATCTCGAATACGTTTTCGAGCTTGTTCAATAGATGTTATTGTACCTGTTATTGATACCTATTAAGAATAATTCAAGACAAAAATAAAAAAAGTTGTTTTTTCTTTTAAATATACTTGATTAGATTTTGTTCCATTTGGTTCACGATTACCATCAGGAAAATGAATATGTGTATCTGTTGCTAACATAATACTTTGTATTTGATTTCCTTGTCGTCCAATACAATGTGCATGATCAGTAAATGGAATTTCAATTTTAAATGTTGCACGTTCCATATTTTTTGTATGCATTAATGAAAACTACCAAAAAGAAAAAGAGAAATGTTTGATATTTATATCAATTGAGTTCGAGATCAACGACGAAGGAAGACTAATCGATTCACATGAAAAAATATCTTTGAATTTAAAATCAATTTTTTTTTTAATCCGAGACAAACTATATACAACATCTATATACATATAATCTTTCTTTTTTCGTTACTCTCTTGTTTTTTATTGGTTGTTAAGATGAATTTTTTTCATTTTCTTTTTCGCACTTGTCAAACAAATAAACAAAATGATGATACCACTCATCATTCTTGTACGTTCTCTTGTTTTTTTTCGTTATCATGAATACGATTCATCATTATGTCAAATAGATTTTTCGGATGAAAGATTTCCTTAAGACAAATAAATATTCATACAAAAGTAAAAAAAAAGAACGAAACGAACATGTTTATCGAACATAATTAAAAAATGAACTAAATAATCACATTGTCTATGTTTTCTTCAGCTGTATCATCATTAGAATACGGAGTATGATTGAACATTGTTAGCCATTATAAATAATAGAGAGTTTCTTCCACATCGAAATTTATGGTTTCGGGCTACTCAACGCTCTAATGCATGTCTATGCAGCATTGTGAAAATCTCTATGAAGTGCATGTTGCGTTATTTCATGGTTCTAGTTGTACTGAAAGAATACCGAAGAAGTGAGTTCGTGTTTTCAAAATATATTCACTGAACAAGAAAAGAAATCGGCGCGCGAAGCGTTGGACAGCCCTGTCTATCTTTGTTCAATAAGGAAATAAATTATAGTAAAATCTCTCTATGTAAGCATCTCTTATTCTGAACACTGAGCGTTTATTTTTCGTTCCATGAACAATAACAACTTGTGTCATGTGAGTAACATATGTTCAATCAATCACATGCAGAACGACTAAAAATAGATGTTATGTGTATTGCGTTTTGATAAACAATCATGGAACTCATATAAAAATGGGATGGACTAGTCCTGAATATTTACAAGAAGAAAAAGAACCAATATTAGAAAACAATAACAATACTTGATGTAACATCTCGCCTTTTTTTTATCGTAACAGATAGTAATACCAAATTGTGTTAGTACGGGTTTATTTCTGATTAAAAATGTTTAATTAATTAATTGTTGAAACAAAGCAAAAGATTATTTTATTGCAGTCGAAAAGCGATTGTAATTGAATAATTATAGGTTTCCGAGAAAAAAAAAGAAATTGAAAACCTCCCAATGATGAACACTTTTGACTAGTCCCGATGGAAATTACATTAGAGAAGTTTTACTTTATTATTGTACATATGAAATTATTGTTTTTCTTTCTCATGTGAAAAAGAAAACGGAATCGAAAATATGCACATATTCGACTAGCATACTAACGATAGATACACATTTCAATTATCATCAGCTTTTTTTTTTTTCGTTTTATAAACTTCCATCTGTTGTTTTTTTCTTTTTGTTTCATATCTTGATTTACAAATCCTATTCAAATTGATCATGTTTAATGAATGTTTCTAATAGAAACAGATTCAACAATGTTATAAAAATATGTAAAGCGGTTTTGTTATCGTATATAAAACAAAAAAATATCATTTAATGATATATGTAATCTTGAGAAAATATTTATAGATAAGTTAGAAATTCATATGTAATTTATTTTTAACGTACATAGAATAACTTCTTGTTGAATTTTTCTTATTAGTTGGTATTGAAAAAAAAAAAAATATGTGAAAAACTTCTTTCATTCTTTGTCTGTTTCTAATTGATTATCAATAGTAGATTGATTGATTGAGCATATATATATAAGAGAAAAGAAATTTGACATATTAATCGTTTCGTTCGACGTTATAACCGTAGCCGATCGATTGTATGATGTGAGACGATAGATTAGATCGATTTATTTCTACGTTAATATTTGATAGAATAAATAGAATTTCAATAATATGTATTAAAATGGTTCCATAGTAGAACTCTGCATCGCATTCCGAAACCTGACTCCGACTCCGTCAGAGTCGGAGTCACTAAAAGAAATTTTTTCGGAGTTGGAGTCGGAGTGATCGTGAAGACTTTTTACAGAGTTAAATTATTACAACAGTCAAGTATTTTTCTTCTTACAGAGCAATAAATTTATTCTTCATATGTTAAGTAATAAACAAAAATACACTACTTTAGAGATTCATAAATAAGTTTCAAGAAGAAAAAAATCAGAAAGAAATTCTCATTCACAAGTAGTATAAAAAGAAGTATACAATGGCTACAAAAAATTGATCGTGCAGGTTTTATTTCGATTTTTCCGTAATGGTAACTCAAAAATAATTTGTTCACCATTTCCTAAGAAAAAACTAGACAAAAAGGGTTTTCGGACTTATTTTAAAATTTATGTAATTCAGTTAAAAAAATGTCGTGAAGAGCTTGAAGATGTGTCATTTTGTAGAGAATTGCTCTGTCACTCCATGTAATCAAAAGAAGCTTTTAGTTTCGGGATCTGGAGACTGAAAAACTAGATTTGGAGTTTTTCAGAGATCTTAGATTTGGGAAATATTGTGAAGATTTTATTTTCCTCAAATCCTTGTTGAAAACAATTTTCTCTACTTAAGTCACCATTTTGAATCTTTATGAGAGTTACCATTACGGAAAAAAAAGAGAAATAAAATTTAAATGATCAATTTTGGGAGTCACTGTTTATGTCAGTCGAAAAAAATGATTCCGCAGGGAAATTTTTATTTAACATTTTTTTGTCATAGTTGGATAGAGCTCATCGAGTTATCTACAGAATTGGTAGTTTTGATAGATTCAAACGATTTTTTTGTAGAGAAGCTTATGTTAAAAAAGAACCAGAAAAGTCTATAAAATTTGAAATACGCTCAAATCATCAAGTCTCGATCGTCTTAATATTTACCAGAATTTTTTTGTGATTTTACTCGTCATATAGCTAGAGAAAAAATTAGACGTGCTTTATGCGAAATATTATTTGATTGTTGAGAAAACTGATTTTTCCATATGATAGCTAAACGCTTTAAATACTGGTTTGAATTCTGAGATTTTTGATTATCAGAACTTCAGTTGTAACCGAAACGAATATCACATTCAGAATTAGAGCAAACATTTGCATCGAGTAGTAGTAAAAACTAATTTTCATCAAATTTTTGAAAGCACAGATCAGAGTATTTGACAAGAACAGTAAGAGGATATGACGACCAAAATTTGATAAAAATGTGTTTTAAGTATTGAATATATTATTCGATGCAGATTTTTTTGTACTCATTTTGAATATGATATTCATTTGTTTTGGAACCGAAGTTATGATAATCAAAATCTTCGAATACAAACTCGTATTTATGGGGTTTAGCTATCATATCAGAAAAATTGATTTTCTCAACAATCAAATAAAAATTTTTTGAAAAAGCACGTCTAATTTTTTCTCTAGCTATATGACGAGTAAAATCAAAAACAAATTCTGATAAATATTAAGACGATCGAGACTTGATGATTTGAGCGTATGTCAAATTTTATAGACTTTTCTGGTTCTTTTTTAACGTAAGTTTTACTACAAAAATATCATTTGAATCTATCAAAAACAACATTTCTATAGGTAACCCAATGAGCTCTATCCAATCATGACAAAAAAAGCGCTAAAAAAGGTTTTGCTCGAATTCTTGTTTGTTGACACCTTTCAAACTTCAAATTTGGTCAAGTTAAACTTTTTTTAACCAAACAAAATATGCTTGTTTCTATTGCAGAGAAGTTTTTCATTACAATACAAGAAATGTTATTCATGTAAAATGTTTGCAATACTTGTTATATATATATATATTCTGGCCATCAATAAAGAACTGGTCACAAAAAAATGCCCTTTCATATAGTCTGTAGAAATATTCTTTATCTTAATCGATAAATATAATAATAAGATTCAAATTTTATTATATTCCTCTCAATAATCAATTATTTATATTTACATATAATATATAATCCATTCTTAAATTTTCTTACAAGAAATTTGATGCTAATGCTTTTTATTTTTATTCTTATAAAACATATTTCATGTCACACACACATCATTAGTTTATATTCTTTTTTCTTTCTTACATTCAATATAACGTGATTGTAATGATGACGACAATATTAAGAAAATTCTTTTCTCCAAACTTTTATTTGATACATTATAGAGTTAGTTAATAATCAATAAAATCTATTTAATTTTCTCTTCGAAAGAATTAATATCTATTATTTATGTATATGATCGATTATCATATCTGATGTGCTAAAATATTTACAACTCAATTTATTTTTCATATATATGTGCTTGCATAGACAAACAATAAAGTTGTTTTCAGTTTAAAAAGGTGTGTCTTCAAATTCTTTACAACAATTGTATGAAGGCAATCCTGTTGATTTATTCTGATAGAATTTTAGAAAGTTTCAAGAAAAGAAAAAAACTTAAGAAAGCTTGTTGATTCCAATTATCATTTATCTTCATAGAGGGAAATCAAGAAAAAAAAAGCTAGATTTTGTTAGAAAGATTCGTTGTTTAACTGAATTTCATCACGAAAAAAAAGAATCAACGTTCTTGGCATAGCAAGTTTATTGTACAAAAACACATCGTTAAAATGATTCTGTTGATGTTGAAAAATGATTAGAAAGAATTCAAAGTGGTCAGAAGGCAATCAATCGTTTAGATCGAGAAATGAATTGAAATGGGAAGAAAGAAAACTTACAATGTCTCATATATAATTTACATTTAATCTTCTTCGAATCGACTATAATAAATCAATGAGACATTTTTTTTTTTACTTTGATTATTTTAGAGAATGAAAGAATAAATCTTTCTACAAAAAAAATGTCGTTTGCTTTTTAGACTTGTCCGTGTAAAGATATTTGCAAGATAGATATTATTATGAATATTTCTATTACTTTTAATATGATAGAAATTAACAATCTTTCGTATGGTTTTTTTCTTGTAAATTTTCTAAGATGACGTCCGAATATGTTAAAAGGATTTTCTTTCATGTAGTTTTTTTTTTTGTAGAAAATTGAATGACGTATCTTTTGAAATTAAACGCAAGATCTTAGCATTTCTCTTTGTAGACATAGATGCCAGAAAAAAGAAAAACTATACTAAAAACATAATGAGACGTTAGGTATACGCGTAAATAAATAGACAACGAATCAGTAAGGAAAGGAAAAAAAAGAGACGTGAACGTTCTGCAAAAATAAATGAGCGGATGAGAAAGGGAAACATCTGTGAAAAGTAATGAGTCTTTTTGTTAGCAAGCAGAATACCGATAGAGAGAGAGAGAGAAGAGAAAACTGAGTAAAATTGACGGACTGAAAAAAGCTTTCTGTTTGTTAGATACCAACAAACATAATATATCACACAAGACGATGGCAACGACCAGTGGCAGTAACAAACAAAACTAAAGAATATGCATACGTTCACTTTCATTTAAAACATGACATTATCTAAGTTGAATTTTATATTATTTCTTCTAACTATTGGATATATAGAACAAAGTATAAACTCAAAAAATTTCTTTTTTTTTGTATAAACTAAATGAATTATTCTTTTAATAGTAATTAGTCAATGTTCTAGTCCATTTACTAATGATAATGGTGCAAATTTCTGTTATTATTATAAACGAACACTTTTATCATGGACCGATGCTTATAACCAATGTTTAAGTAAAGCTACTGATGGAATATTAATTCAAATATCTTCTATGAAACAATTTAATGATTTAAAAAATGCAAATATTGGTGAAAAAGGTCCTTTTTGGATAGGTGCAAATAATTTAGCATTTTGTAAGTCAACATGAGAGATATTACACTGAGGAGTTTCGTTATTAGTTATTTTCTTTTATGGATACTTTAACATAATATCAAAAACTGCCTATAATTAGATGTACAAAATGGAATCTGGAGTAACAAAAAATTGTTTCCGGCAACGCTCTTCTTTGTGACTAGAAGAAATTTTTTCATTCGCCGGAGTAAAAAGAGAAGAAAACCAATTCTCATATTAGGAAATTCTCTTACGCGTAACTGAAAGAATATTTTTTATGATGTAAATATTAAATTCTCATTTTTACTTTTGTTTTTAATATAATTTAAAAAATTTTCAAATTTTCTTTCTTACACAACAAAGCTTTATTGAATACTTTTATTAGAAATTTTTCATAAACATATATGGAATATATAAGAACAAAAAAAAAAGAACTAACCTAGATGAATAACAGAAAACGATTGGTTTTATTGAAGATTATTCTTTATGTAAATTCATATTAATTATTTAGAAAAAAAATGAAATTTAATATTTATTCTATTTGTAAATTTCTAAATAAATAGTTCATGATGGCCACTGGCATTGGCTTGATGGATCTACAGTTGATGATTCGAGCATTACATGGTGTTCAAATAGTACATATGAAGTAGCAATTGGAACTCATTGTGCAGCGTATGATAGCACTTTACAATGTGTTACCAATTATTTATGTAGTACTTTATTGCCAGCTCCATGTGTAACAGGTAAATTCTCTATTCAAAATAGACATAAACGAGATCAGACGTTGTTGATCTTAGCCAAAAAAAAAATTTTTTGATCTCAGTCTCGGTCAAAAAAAAATTGGTCCCAGTTCCATCTGGCTGGCACCATCTTTCGTGCATCTATTTAGAACATATGAGTCGTGACAATATAACATTCGACGCTAATTTTACACGACCATAAAAGGTAACGTTCCCAATGAAAAAGCGTTGATTCCGGTGGCAGTCTAAAGCAAAAAATTGGTCATGATCCCATCTTGCCCATATCTAATTCAAAGTATTGATTATAAAAAAAATTGTTTTTTCAATTTAGCATCGTATGGAGCGAAAACAGAAGCGAAAAATATTTTGAGTGGTCGTCAATCAAGTACTAATGTATGTACAAGTTCATATGGAGGGGCTTATGCAAATTGGTGGACATATTCTGTTCTACTTCTCAATTGGTTTATACTCTTTTGTTTTATTCTTTACTTAAGTCATCATTTTAATATTAATAAATACACAGTTATTTTAACAATATCGATTGTTGTATTATCATTTATGATGATTATTGCGTTTTCTATTTTATGGGGTGTACAATGTATGGAAAAGAAATTTATATTTTATAAAAAAAAAAAAAAAAATTTTGTTTTTCTTTAGATCAAGATATTATACAAATACCATTAATTATAGTTATACTTGGTTGTCTAGCAAGTGCACTTTTTCTTATTGATATTTTAATTCTTGTATCGAATCGTACTCGTGGTAAGTAAAAATTATTCTCAAGAGAAAGAAAAAAAAAAGAAGCAGTTTTGTTTTTTATAGTACAAAAATGGGTGGTGTGTATGATATTAACAATTTTAGCAATAGTTATTGAATTCTTCCTAATGCTTGGTCTTATTCTTTGTATTGCATATTGTTCAGGATATATTTCATTAGCATCGACTGATCTTAATAAAGGTAAATTAATATATTTAATATACTTTTATGAAGATTCATGTCATTATTATTTTAGATATTATTGCATCAATTTTAGCCGGATTGATTGCTGCTATATCGGTTATACTCGTTTATGGAATTTTGTTTTTCATAGGTAATAAATATTCAATTCATGGCAATCAATTTGACATGTTGAATTTATATTGCTATCAATGATCCTAGACGCGAACGTCATTGAAAAAGATCGATAGCTAATATAAAATGAGAATATTTCATGAATTGAGACATATTGAAGTTGTCAGTACGGTCTACGAAGGAACCTATCTGACTGATAATTTTTGTATGAGTTCATAATTAGGACTCATTATGTAGATAAAACCTTGAAATGGTTCGTGCCATTAGATATTTCTTCTCGAGTTATGGTTGTTTTACTGAACTTCCAGTCTATCACAGAATATCACGAGAAAAATTACAACAACAAATTTCAGTCTGAAATTTTCTCCAACAACAGCTCTCATGATCCTTATAGTATCCTGAAAGTTTCAACTTAAACAAATGTTTTCTTTCGTAGATAACATGTCTGCAAAAAAAATATGTTACATGACACAAGACCTCCAAAAAGAGTTCAGTTTTAAGGTATATAATATCTTAAGAAGAAATCATCCGTTTGAGCTGAAACTTTCAGGATTTCATACGAATCGTGAGATCTATTGTTGTGGACCATTTCAAGCCGAAACTCGTTATTGTGACTTCTCTCATAATATCCTGCAATCGATTGAAAGCTCAATAAACTGATCATAACTCGAGAAGAAAAGCTTAATGATACGAACCCTTTCAAGATTTCTATCTACATTATCAATCCTATCTATGAACTCAAATGGAGTTTATCAGTCCTATAGGTTCTCTTATTAGTTCTACTTAGACACTATTATCACGATACAAACTATGAAATATCAGAATATAACATCTGAAATAAGTTCGAACTACAAACCAGTTGAAACGGCTTTTTTTAAAATCTCAGTTAAAAAAAATGATTCAGTGTTGATATCAGATTTATCAAAACTTTCATCTGCATAGAACTTAAAATTATTCTCTAGTACTATAGTGTCAACCATTTAGTTACCAATAGCTTCCTTTTTAAGTGTTCAAATCAGATATAAACAAAAGGAGTTGTCTTAATTTTAGTTCCAATCTCAAATTTCTATAGATCGTCATTAGTTTGTCTGTGTCTAAAAGTTCGAATGATCTAAAATAATAAATCTATTTCATCTATGCTTTATTTTTTTTTTGCATCTCTACTCTTCGATACTGTGATTAGATGATAGTCTTGAATTATTTTTAGAAAATGGCGGTCAAGATCGTGTACATGCTACGCCACCTACTAAACCAAATCCGGATGCGCCACTTCCATTAACTACTAAACAACCATTTGCTCCTCGTCCATTACAAAATACTAATGGACAAAATCCAAATGCACCACCTAGAAAATATGACAAAATTGAACGAGCAACATCACCTGTTGATCAACGTATACTTAATGAATTTTATGGTGATCTTCCTAAAGATGTACATCAATATCAATTGGAAGGAAGACAATATGTTGTTTATGAAGGAATAACTTTAATTGATATTGATACATATAGAAAAGGTAAATAACAAAAAAAAAGAAGAAAATTTCCTTTTTTGATTATTCGATATTTTGTTAATAGAATTAACACAAGCAATGTTATTACAAGAACCACAAGGTTTACATGAAGCAATTAATCGTGCCAAAAGTTCTATTTATGCTTCAACACTTGTTGAAGAAATTAATCAAGCTGAAAAATTAGTGAAACGATTAAAATAAAAGACAGTATCAATATAAAATCTAACAATACGAAATTTGAACAAATTCTTTTTTTTTTTTGGCGATTTTTTTGTCAGGGTTGAATAGAGTTCGTCAATTGACTTCTACAGATTCGATTTTTTGATATATTATGTCTTTCTTGAGTGAAACTTAGGTTACAAAAAAAATCAGAAATCTATAAAAACTGGAATATCACAAAAGCATCAAGTCCTTAATACTCTCAATATTTATTCGATATTTTTTGATTTTTCTCGTCATAATGCTTAGAAAAATATTGTTTTATTGTTAAGAAAATTGATATGATAGCAAACTCAGACCCACACCCATCCGATAGTATACTCAATACTCTATATTGCAGATTTTTCTGTTGATTCTGAACATCCTATTTGTTTCATTTGAAATTGAAGTTTTGATGGTCAGAATCTCTGAATACAAACCTGTATTTATGACATTTTGCATTTATATCCAAAAAAAAATTGATTTCTTTCAACAATAAAATAATGTTTTTCCAAAATGATCCACATTTTGTTTTTGTCTAACCATATAACGAGTAAAAAAATATATTTAATGCATATTTTTGCCTAGCCTTGATACCTGTGATATATTTCAGTTTTATGGACTTTTCATATTTGTTCAAAACAAAATCATTATGGAAATATATCAAAAAACAATATTTTTAAACATAAATCAACGAGCTCTTACCCAAACCAAGACAAAAAAATTTTCCTCACACTTCAAATCGACACTTTACACTAATTCAATAAAATAAAAAGAATTAAATATTTTCTTTTGCTTTCTCTTATTCTTCTTTTATCTTTCATTCCTACACAAATAATAAAATAAATTTTGACTTCTTGGCTGTCCTTTTTATTTTTTCACATGAACACAAAAAGGAAAAAAAAAAACAATGACAAAATGTGTGTGTTTGTATGTTTGTGTGTATATGTATGTGGATGATGAAACTATATATATTTATATATGTACAACACAAAATGATGTTCATATCAGAAACAAATACAGAAGAAAACAACAATTTTGGTTTGCCACCTTTTTAGTTTTCACAAAAACAAAGAGAAAGAAGAAAAAAAAAATACTTCGGTCAACTAATAGTTTAATAAATCATCATCGAGCACAAAAACATACATAGATTAATCTTTTAGTAATAAGATATATGTATGTTAGTTTTAGAAATTCTAATAGAGATAGGACAGAATCTTTTTTTGTTGTTTTTTTTAATAGAATAAACAAAAGCGGCAAATAAAATATTTACAAGTGAACACAAACACACACACACACACAAATGAAATGTATTAACCATCATTTGATCCGCCTCCTACTCCTCCAGGTGCTAATCTTTGTTTTTTTGTTATTGATGTTGAAGAATTTGTATTTGAACCAGTTCGTTTTAATGAATTATTTGTTGTTGAATGATTTGATGGTGTTTGTTGTTGATCTTGTAACCATCGAACTTGTGTTGCTGGTCCATATCCACGTTCATTACGTGCTGCTATACGAAATATAATAGCTGGTTTACTACTTGTACTTATATCAAGATGAGCTTGATGAAGTTGTGCTGCATTTACTGAACATTCAGCTAATACACCACCATAAACACGAACAAAAGCCATTTGTGATGCTTGTTGTTGTTGACGTGATATTGTATTATCTGTTGCTGAATTTTTTACTGCTAAATAGACTGCATAACCAGTAATTAAAGGTGAAGCATTCGATGGAGGATCCCAAGTTAGATGAGCACCGCCATCAGAAGTCTAAAGAATAAAAAAAAAAAAGAAATTTTCGAATATGAAAAAAAACAGAGGAAATAATTTTTGTATTGAAATTATACCTTTGTAATTTTAATATTAGATGGTGCTGGTGGTGAACCAGGTAAGCATGTTTTAAATGCTGCTGCTTCACTCCATGGACCTCGACCACATGCATTTACAGCTGCTATACGTAATTTATAGATAACACCAGGTTCAAGGTCAACTTTTTTTACTAGATTATGCACTTGAAGGGAATCAAGATCCTAAAAAAAACCAAATATATATATATAAACATATTTTATGATCAAACTTCAGCACAATTTAAAATTTGTCGTATTAAAATTCGAATTTTGCCGAGACGAAATTAAAACATCGTTTTGATGAATCGGAGAACGCAAAGAAATATTAATCATTAGACTATGAGATGGAATAAGGAGAAGTTTGACAGAGGCGTAACTTAGCAATGAAGGAAAGGTGAGGAGAGAAGAATTCCAAAAAAAAGGGTGCTACGTAGGTAATTTTCAAAAGTAGGAGAATGGAGACTTCATATCTCCTATAGGTTATTCATAGTGATGTGTGGGATCAAGGTTTTTAGCTCCAATTTCAGTTATAATTCTGATAAATCTAGCCTAGTTCTCTTTAGTTTCGATTGGGATAACTTTTCTCTTGTAGTCCAGACTTTGGTCTTGCACATCTATTGTTACGCACCTGGAGGGTGCGGGCGCGAAAGAGAATGTGATCTTACTACATTTTTTTATTCTCTCGTCATTCCGGCCTACTGACGAGCTCTAATTATTAATCTTTCTTTAAGTTCTTCGGATCATCGGAAAAAAAATACATACATAATTATCGATATTTATTTTTGATGGAACAACATAATAATGTTTAATATCAACTGTTGTTGTTTTAAATGTTCCAACTAAATGCCAACCATCATTATCATCATTTTCTGATGATTTTAAATCATTTGAAATTGTTTGTTGTTGCAAATCAATTTTTGAATTGCCATTTATTGTTGTTTGTGAATTTTCATGATTATCTTTTAAATAGAAAAGATAAATATATAAGAATTTTTTTTATTCATAAATAAGTTTATATTTTTTTTTGTTTCTATTATTTACTTAATGATTGTTGTGATCCAGTATTGACTATTTGTCCGAAGTCTGTTGTTGATTGTTGTTGTGCTGGACTAGAAGAATTTCGTACATCTAAAATTCAAGTATACATAATCGATCTTGTTTTGTTTTGTTGTACTTACCAGCTGTACCGTTTTGTAGTGACTAAAATAAAAAAAATACAATAGAGGAAAATATAATAATGAATTTATTCTTTTTTAATAGAAAATATTTACCGGATCATCAATAGTTCCATCTAATTGTGGAATTCCACTATCAATTGTTGATTCTTGTTGATCATTATCAATATGTGTTGTTGGATTAATAGTTATTGAATTTGATGGATCAATATTTTTCATTTGTAATGTAAATTTTGGTTGTTGTCCACTTGTAGTTGAAAATGTATTTTGATTTAAAACCAATACTTGTTGTGATTGTGTTGGTATCGTTTTTTGTTGTGTATTAGCTGCTAATAATATTGGTTGTTGTTGTCGATTAGATGTTTGTGCTGTAATTGCTTTAATAACTAATGGTTGTTGTTGTTTATTTGTATTTAATTGTATAATTTGTTGTTGTCCTGTACCGGGTCGAATAGTTGTTGTTGCTGGCGACATTAAACGAACAATTGTTGTTGGCTGAGTTGATGAACCACGTACAACAGGTGTTAATTGTTGAACACGTACACCAGCAGGCATAACAGTAAGAAGTTGTGGTTGCGTAGATGTTGTTGATGATTTTTGATGAAAGATTATTGGACGAACAGTATTTGATGCATTAGTAGAATTAGTATTAACAAATTGGATATTCGATGTTGTTGCTGGTCGAATGGCTAAAATAGAAAAATTTCTGATTAGTTTTTTTTTTCGTTTTTGCTTAAAATATTTACTGTGCGTTGAATTAAATAATGTTGTCGGTTGATTATGTTGTATAGATGTAGAAATAGTTGTAGGTGTAGTTTTTTGAAATAATGATGAATTATTTATACTGTTCGAAGGTGATATAGAAACATTTGGTAATGTTTGGGCATTGACTGTACTAATCGATGGTGAAAATGGTGTTTGTGATGATGATGATAAATGAGCTAATGAAAGTAAATCTGATGCAGATTTATTGAGAGCTGTTGTTGTTGTTGATGATGAAAGACATTGATCGACAACGCCATCTAGATATTGACATTTAAAAAAAAGCTTGTCAACGTAATACTTTTCGGAGTTAATATGTGGAACTCACATATGCTCTTTAACCTCGCTAAAGAAATGATCTATCTTATTTATTTCTGCATTTCGAAAAGAATCTTTTTTTTTTTATTGACGTTCTATTTTCTGTTTGTCTTGTTGCTTTTCATTTTTTATCAACTTAACATTATTAAAAAAGAGTCTGTTGTATATATCCATTATATCTATAGTAGGTCTCAACATACTATTAAACAGTGGTGCTCAAAATGTTGAAATACGAGATTTTTACTCGTAGTATGTCTTTATATGTTTGTGTGTGATGTATGATCAGTTTTGAGTGGAACTGAATATCTAGTCTGGTAGAGTGTATATATATGATATAGAGATCTAATAAACTATGAGGGTAGGGTCACATTTTTGATGAAAACCATCTTGAAATATTTGAAAAACCAGTCGATCGGGCGTGGGTGTATGATTAATTTTGAGCGTCATTGTAAATATCAAGAGGAAAGGTCTTCAAGTGATGAATTGCTTTCGAGCTGAAACTATATTCAATCGATAGGATCTAGTGAGTAGGTAAATACCATAGAGTGGTTTGGAGCTGCTGGATCTTTGTTGTTGAGATTTCGAATTCTGACCTGAAACTTTGCCCATATAAAGACATCAATTAGATTAGCTTGTAGAAAAAAAAATTCAGAATTTCTCTATCAAGTATCTCTGAGATATGAATTTTAGTCTAATTGGTGCCTTTATCAGAGTTGAATATCTCAGCAACAGAAGTTTAGCAGTTCGAATCATTTTAAGGTATTTACTTAATCATTAGACCCTATCTATTGAATATAGTACCAGCTTAAAAGTGATTTATTACTTGGAAAACTTCTCTGATCGGAAATATTAATATTGATCATATAATAACTGTGACAAATCAATGCATCACTATCCGT